ACTGGAGCTGCGTGCTGAACTTAGAGCTGAGGAGGAGGAAGGCGAGGACAGGGGACGGACAGGAGGAAGAAGACAAAGAGGAGGAATTATGTGTAAACACCAGGAAGGTGGGCATTGGTGTACTTTGTTGTTTACAGGACCAGAGCGGTGAAGAGGAAGCCGACAGACCTGATGAAGGGTTTGATGATGGTGATCAGGGCCTTAATGTACCAGGTGGGATGAACCACGTAGAAACCCTTCAGGTTCTTCCTCAGCCTGCACAAACACACAGGTAAATACACCGCACTGGCTCTATTTCACAGTTCACTGTTTTAACAGCACCACCTGGTGGACACTGACCGGAACAACACATCTTACCATCTCAGTTATCACTGCTCATTATAAACGAATGCTGGTCCTCTGTGGAGCTAAGGTACAATGCTTAGACAAATTATTTTAAAACATTATAAAAATTATAAAAGATGGCGGACGGTGTGGAGCAGGGTGCTGCTGCTCTGAGCCTTAGTCGACCTCGAGTGAAACCGCAGGTCTATAAAACTGTAGATGGTATGCTGGTAGTGGAGGACGAGTTTCTTAACTTTCTTGTGGTTAAGATTAAGACAATGTGCCAGGACGAGCTTGTCCTACTTGCCTCGAATCACTTTGACACTCGATGTGTCAAAGGTGTTGTTTGAACTGTGTCCTAACACAAAGCAACGCTATGTGGCATTTAAGGGCAAGCAGAAAGATGTAAATAACATCAAAAGTTGCCTACAACTCTTAAATGAGTGTGGAGATGATATACCGCACTTTGTCTCTCACTTCCTTGATGAGTTGTCGCTGGTGACATTTAATAGCTTGGACGTTTCTACCCTTTTATGTAAGATGGAGCGTTTGCACAGTGAGATCTGTGCTCTCAGACAGGTCGTCAAGCTTCAGGCTGATGTTGGTGAGGAGTTCCGTGTTGTTACCTCAACCATCGATCGCAGAGTTGCTGTAGTGGAACGACATATGATGTCTGATGGAAGGGAGCAGCTGGGTACGGACATGCCTGGAGTGAGGATCCATGGCCTTGATGCACAAGCCGGCGCCGCGGACGTAGCCGGGGAGATTCCTGGAGTGCTGGATGTGTTGGCTGGCTCCCAGGCCTCTACGGGCTCTGAGCTTTCTAATGGTGATGTAATCCGGGAAGGTCA